CCAGCAAGCTAGCCAACCAACCAACCAAACAACCAACTAACCAACCAACGAACCAATCAGCCAACCAACGGACCAACGAACCAACAAAACCAACGAACCAACCAAACCAACCAACCAACCAACGAACCAACCAACCAATCAACCAACCAACCAAAGCCAACCAAAACCAACCGACCACCGACCAACCGACCAACCAACCAACCGACCAACCAACCGAATAGCCGACCAACCCCAACCAACCAACCAACCAACCAACCAACCAACCAACCAACCAACCAACCAACCAACCAAAACCAACCGACCAACCAACCGACCAACCAACCAACCAACCAACCAACCAAGCAACCAACCAACCCACCGACCAACCAACCAACCACCCAGCCAGCCAGCCAGCTAGCTAACCAACCAACCAAACAACCAACCAACCAAACAACCCGACAACCAACGAACCAACCATCCAACCAAGCAACCAACCAGCCAGCCAGCCAGCCAGCCAGCAAGCTAGCCAACCAACCAACCAAACAACCGACCAACCAACCAACGAACCAATCAGCCAACCAACGGACCAACGAACCAACAAAACCAACGAACCAACCAAACCAACCAACCAACCAACCAACCAACCAACCAACCAACGAACCAACCAACCAACCAACCAACCAACCAAACAAAACAAAACAAAACAAAACAAAACAAAACAAAACAAAACAAAACAAACAAACAAGCGCACACACAAGTACACACGCACACAACGAAAGCCTACCCCGGTAACAGCCCTAGGTCTTCAGCTTCCTGCCGCTGAAGAGCAAGGATCGCATCCCGGCGGCTGCGGCGAAGTCAAGCAACGAGCGTCCATCGGGAGCCTCTCTGCATGGCACTGTTTGGCGTCTACGGGTTCCTCCAGGGCTTTAACGTTCCTCTAAGGGTGGCTGTAACGGTTCCTGTAAGGGTCCATTAAGTTCCCCATGTAAGGATTCCTACAAGGTGTCCTTCAAGATGTCTAAGATTCAGAAGGAAGAATTCGGGGCGAAGTAAACAAACTTGGCTTGGCACAACAAGCATCGACAGTTGATCAGGCGGCTACCTGATATGGATTTCAGCACTTCGGCTTGGGAGGCTGTTTGTTTTGTCGTCTCTTTCTCTCTCTCTATATATATATAATATATAATATAATATATATATATATATATATTATATATGTTACATATATATATATATATATGTATGTACAGGCAGCTATATATGGCATATGATATACACATGTACAGCATGGCTGTCAGGTACGGACATCGACTGTAGTGAACAACGCTTCTTCATCAGAATATACCTAGAAGCTGCTGGACAGAAGCGGAAACAGGTGGAGTTGTGAGAATCTCTGCAGTCAGAAACTCCCAAACCCGTTGATGAACTAATCCACCTTAATCCCCCTATCGAATCATGCTTTAATTTTGTTCATGAAGAAACTTTGGTTAACGAACATACATACATCATAGGAATCCCCCTGTCATCCAAGGTTTGGGCGTGTCTGGGAACCCTCCAAACTCATCGCCGGCTCCGTTTCTTGCCTTGACATCTCTACCCACCGGCTCCATAATGGTTCCTTTTTGTGGCTTATATTTAGGATCCCATAAGGTAATCCCAAAAAGGAACTACTATGGAGCCTATGGGTACAACCCAAACCCTAAGGTCGGCGAAAAGTTCGGTAACTGAAACGACTGATTCGGTAACCAGAACGGCTGATTCAGAAACCAGCCATGATTCAGAAACCAGCCGTGATTCAGAAACAGGAACCGGAAATTTCGGAAACTGGAAGGCCTGATTCGGAAACTGGAACGCCTGATTCGGAAATTAGACCTTGATTCGGAAACCAAAACG